CCCCCCTGGGTCCGCCCGTGCTAACAGATATTAAGGTCAAACTGAAGATTACACTTGAAAAAGTAACCAAATTCCATAAGTAGAATACTTGCATGGAAAGGGATGGGTTATTTAGATACGTCGAGGATTTTTTCTTTTATATAATATAATGCAAAAAGGAAAAGGCTAGCAGGTTGGGATGAGAATCACAGTATTATAAGGTTTGTTGAATAAACTCACCGTCAATCCCTTGCATTTATTATCAATACAGACTGTTTCATTTAATGCCTCGTCGACGCCTTTAGAATCATCACGTAGTAATCTCCTACATAAGAAAGAAAAGTTATATAGATGAAGGTATGGTAACATTGATATACAATTGATATTGAAACATCTCATAAGGTAATAAAAACCTGTGAAGCATCAGTTCAATCTGTCCATCTACTATGCTTGATCCTCCCACAGCTCTGTCCACCAAGACTGAAAGTTCAGTCTTATCATCTTCTACGTAAATACCAAGATTTATCTGCATATGAAAAGTTCAATCTTGACCAACATTGAAGGAGGAAAATTATTATTGTACAAGAACTCGATAACAATATTCATGTATTTTCTGCACAAGTATTTGGACATTTAACAAACCCTGAGGAAGAGAAACTTACTGGGTAATAATTTCCAGCAACAGGTTCATTCACTTTCAAGTCCCAATCCGTCCTATAATCACGAATCTGAATAGCAAATAAATTTCTATCGTCATACGTAAGAAAAATTTAACCAATAAATATAAATTGAAGGAACATTTCTTCAATTTTCCATTTCTTCAACATCTTTAATACAATTTAAACAAGTTTATTTTCATGCATCCAGGCAAAATATGGAATAGTAGGTGCCGCCACAAAGACCAAAAAAATACCCTTTTAATAAAATCACGGCCATTTGAATCGGTGTAGAATGTCTTATTGGTCTCCATGTTAGTTGTGATTTGAGTAGCCATTTCTTTTCCAATTCCATCACCCACAGGGATTGGACCGACCTAATTCCACGAAAAAACATTTTACTGAGCTATAAAAAGAAATAGTATCTACTAGAAGAAACTTAAGATGTATATTATCTATACAATAAAAATCCAGATTATAGTTCAATGTCAAATACGTAATCATACTGTGAATTCAACTTCAACGTGCTCCTTACCCTTGAGAAGACGGTTAATCTGCATTGACACAACGAATGAAGCATCAGTTTCCATAGGAACAAGGGTATAGAAAGGGACTTCCAAGTTTGCTTGTCATTAGCATTGCTCATAACAAAATTGAGATCTGTTGCTGTATAACAGCCATTACTTCGACTCACTCATTGTTGGAACTTAGAAGTATTGTTTTCGAGCAGTCTACATTAAAAGGATGGTTTTTACGAGTGGACAACAGTTTTGCAATGCTGTCATATGCATAATGACTTCTCTTTTTAACTTTCATGGTCAAACCTGATATTTTGTTCACGACAATTGAAGAAATGCACCTGATAAATCCATGGATTAATCTTCTGGTGAACTTCATCAATAATAGGTCCTCGTATAACCGTTAGAATGTCCTGCAAATTCAAGAGAAACTTTAGTTCAAGCATTTCGAGTGGAAAGTTGTTTGCACTCCTGAGCTGAATTTTGACAGCACTACACCTTTTTCGCTGGCTTTAAGAGAAATGTACCATTTGGACGGAAGACATATGCCCCAGATGACTTCAATAGCAAATAAAAGATACAGAAAAAGAAATTTAGAGAGAAATGTGTGACGAACCATGAACAAATACAAACTAAAGTCAAATGAAAGAGGGCAGAGGTGGGGAGCTTAGATAGTGTGTGAAAAGTTAAATTTAGATGACCTGAGGACTTTCATCACTTCCATTATATCCAGCATAGTAGCTGAAAGACTGTTGAACACTTTCCTTAACCTTCAATAGTCATAGGTATCAGTTATGCAGGGAAATAACAATGTTATATACAAACAACAAGGACAGCTGCACAGAAGAACAAACCTAAAGAAAATAAATTATGTTCTTAAGCATAAGGAAAAGGTGATATAAAAGCAATTATGTGAAACTCTCAGGTATATTGCTTACCATACTTCTTCTGTTCATATAAAAAGCAAGTTTCCTTTCCTCAGCTGAAAATGAAAGCTTAAGATTTTCATGACCCACTTCGATAGTGGATTTGTCACCTCTTTGAAGTGAGTGTACAGATGATCTTGCTGAACTAGCACCTATTTCAAGAAAGGCATAAAAATGCAAATCAATGTTATCATAAATTGAGGAAATTTCATTGACACGGTCTTCCCGCAAAGAAACACTTAACCCAAAGAAATCATGGATCACACCTTCAGTTTTCGCTCTTGAAATTGTATATGAATTGTATCCAAGTGGTGGTACAGATGCTGAAAATGCGAGCCAATACTCGGGAGTTTTACTTGGTGATTGACCCCGGTATGCCTTTACAAGGTAGTTTCTCAAGCTCATATAATTTTCAGATAAAGGAAGGACCTGAGATTCAATTACCCTTCCCGCAGAATCGCGTACAGTAACATCTTCATGCATAACCTATAGAGAATTCTATTTGTAAATCCAGAGAGTACAAAATGGAAGACTTTTTTCCTCTACTTACAGTATGAAGAATGTGAACTAATATAAACATAATTCTTTATTTGCAATCCTAGTTAAATGAATGAGCCCTATATTTATAGAATAAAGAATATAAACTAATATCAACATAAATTCTCTATTTTTCTTCCTAGTTAAATGCACAAGCACCTCCATATTATGCTTTTCAAAATAGGATATAAAAGTCCAGTCAATATATAATGTCTACCCATGCTTTTTGCAAAAGGTTGAGACCTTACTGGGAGTTATCGTCAATATCGTTTACTATTGACCAAAAGATGGGCTTGACCAGGTAGTCATTCAACTATATTCCAGATTGCCATTTTAGAGTTCACCAAGATTTCAAGTTATAGACATTTGGGAGAATGTACTACTAGATAAAATGACTGCAAAATCTCTCTTTTTCCTTGCTTTATTGATCAAGCTTGTAACATAACATTGCAAGTTCCTAGTTGTTGATATCATGATGATGTAATGTCCCAAAAGACGTCTAATTTCATGTATGCAGAAGATACTTGGCTACGAAAACATTTGACTTGAGATGAGTAAGAAGATCACATGAGTATGAAGATATACCGATTAAATTATGCCTCTGTTCGGTGAGGATTAAAATTAGATATTTCGAAAATTTTGATAGAAGTTGAGGAAATGTGTGGTTGAAAAATTGTGGGTCCTATAAAATATAAAGTTAAAATTACTACTGACTTTGACTTAAATTAAAATCTATATAAAATGAAAACTCGTGACAAAAAATTGACATGAGAAACATTTTGATCCCCACAAAAAAAGAACTTAAAAAATTTAGCCATTGTTTGAGCCCCTTTTCAAAGAAAAATATATTTTGTAATAGTGATTTTTTGGAGATGTTGTGGTTAATAAATGGAGAAAATTTTGTTTTACACGTAAAATTATTTTATTGGAGAATGTATGATTAAAAATGCATTTTTGAAAAATGAGGCTCAACCAAGGGCTTAGTAATTCTTAGAATTAATAAAACCAAGAATCAAGATCAGAACTGGGATACCTACAGGTATACGGATTACATCTTCTCTCTTCCATCCAAGAGCATTGTAGACCACAACAATCTAAAAGAGGAATACATCTGTTAGTTGTTTTATTATACTTCGAAAAGTCATAGGAAATAAATTTTTGTTAGTGAAACAAGAAGTGAAAAAGAGATAATTAAACCCCTACCAGGTTTCCCCCATGGGAGAATTCGATTTCTGATGGAGGACAGTAACTTATATTCAGAAGTGGACACTGAAAAAAGTTACAAGCATCGGGATCACAATCCATTATCACAAAATAATTTCTGGACTCTAAGATGAAGATTGCAGCACACAAGTTGTTTCATAATTTTGATTTTCTGTCAATCATAGGCATGTATATTGTAAGTTATGAGAACTCTGTTGCATATTTAATTATTATATATTCCTATAATATTAATTCCAATTTTCAAGAATTGAAGTCTTCAGAAAAGACAAAGCAGAGAAGTAGTTGAGCAAAAAAAATCTCCTAGCTCAGAGAGAGTAAACATATTCCAAAACATTTTAGTTTTACTACACCATCTTATATATCTGTAGATGTACTGCTATCCAGTTCAATGCTAAACTAAACATCAAGCATCCAAACTAGATTGGGTTTACAGGCCTCATAATTGATATAATCATAGCCGGCACATTGCAATTGGTTACGGAAATCAACATAAAAGGCTTTTCATGTGAAGTAAAAATTATACTTTTGACATTGCTTCAAAATGTTTCAAGAATCTAAAAGTACGAGGACAACGAAGCATGATGGCTAAAAGGTTAAATGTATCTCTTTGCCTGTTGAAATTCTGTTCTTGCATTTCGACCCCTGGTGCATGATGTGGAATCCACCAAGCAAGCCAATGATGATGATGCCACCTTTTCAGCCTGCAGACAGATAGTACATGACTGTTTACTCTTCCAAATTGACTCAAGGTAATGAATACAGTACTAGTTGTCAAAAAACTAATAGTCAATTAAACTTGCACCTCCACATATCCCATTGACAGTCTTTTTGCATAATCGTTAGCCACATGCTGTTTCTCTGTTCCAGTAACTGCATCATGATGCTGAGCAATTGCTAGAGCATCAGCCAACAAGTCAGTGTTGGGCCCAGATTTATCTCTACCTTTGAAGAACTCGAGTTGCCTCGCTGCCTAAATATACACAAGTACATCAATATCATCACCATGCATCAGGTCTAACATTACGAAAACTCAAGTCAAACGATACCAAGTAATAGCCGCTCATCATTCTAACATAACGTTTGATGGCTGGTCTGCTCGTGAAGTACCCTGTCCAGTAACCATGTGCACGATCTGCATATCTGATAAGAGAATTCTTTAATCTCTAAGATGGAATCCAAATGAAAAGGTCATGAGTAAAACAAAACAGAGAATTGCTCTACTTATCACTCACGGAAAGAAGTCTTCAGTCTTTATAGGCCAGGCTTTTTCAGTTGCATGTTTCGCATCAGTGTATATGGATGGAGTTGAGTACAGTGCATTTACACGTCCATCCTGGAATTTTTAGAAGTCATTTATTGTTGTATTTTAACACCGATAATTGCAACATAGCAGTACAGGACAGCAAGAAAGAAAGGAGGGAACCTGTGCAGCAAATATTGACACAAACTTACAGAGTGAATATCCTGAAGATGTAGACATGCTGAGATAGGGACTCAGAAATAATGGAAGAGAATCTATCCATACCATGGGAGCTCAATAGAGTAAATCAGGCATTTAAAGCAAGTCAATACTATTAAGGCGATCTGTGTCGGTGGCTGGCTACCGTTATGTTGTGTCGAACACTGACGCTCCTAGGAAACTCCAAGACGCGTGTCCGACCTGCCACGTAGTGTGCCTATTTTATATATTTTTTAAATTTCTGGGATTGAAGGGTACTTTAGGGACACTCATCGAGCACATCTGTCATGCCATGTGGCATGTCCTATACTTTTCATATTGTTTCTAGTCCAACTCAAGAGAAACATGTCCTCGACACATGAAGGACACATAAAGTCCCATTCTATTAATCAGAAATGAAATCACGGAAAATTTTAGTTATTAAACATTCGTTAAAAAATTCAAACTAATGGGAGAAAGTTGTACTAACTTCATGTCGAATTTTGTACAATGCTATGTGCATTTTTCTTTCCTTGCAGTAGTAATATATAGTTTTAAGAATAAAGATATAATATATAAATGTATTACTTTAAAAAATTTAAATTGAGATGTGCATCCTACTTTATAAATAATCGCTTGTCAATATGTCCACGTAAGTTGTGTCGTGTCCCTTTTTCTTAGGGTAGCATGCATGTAAATGTGATACCACAAGGATCAGATAAAACCAATTCACATTATGAAATTATTCATTAATTTATAAACCCATTGCCACTCTGCTACGTTTTATACAGGATGGAATTTAAGCACTTCTTTTGAACCCAATGTTTACCAATGCAATCAATGTATTTTTCAACTTTCAAAATTTGCCATTGAAGGGCAAGTTGTAAGGTCCCGGAATTTTCATTTCTCTTGATTGTTATGTTTAGGCAGTCAGTAGACAAGCCTTTGGGGGGTGGGGGGCCCACATAAGTGATGAAATCATAAATTTGGTTTAAGACCAAAGATTTAAATTATTTAAGTTTAAAAGAATTTTTAAAGTAAAGGAGTTGTTCATTAACCATTTTTAGATTAATGGAAGTCTACATGGTCTATCATAGAGGAAACATAGGTTCGAATCACGATGCACTACGATGCACCGACACGGACACGTGTGTCTGACACGATACGTGTCGGATACGCCAACACGCGATTTTTAAAAAAAGTACATACACGACACGTTGATTAAATTCTTATTAAAATTTCATTTATATAGTACAAATTTAGTTTTATACTTGTTATTAATTTTTCTTGTTGAAATCTTTTAAACGTAAGTACCTAATTGTTACTTGTTAATAATTTTGAATTAACAATATATAATATTAATAATATAAAAGGAAAAATGATTACTGTAGCGTGTCCGAGAAGTGTCGGTATCGACTCGTGTCCGACATGTGTCCGACACGGACATGCTACTCTAATTGAAGTGTCCATGCTACAGAGACGATGCAGATGTTTTTCAAAAGTATTTTATTTTTGGCTTTTGGAAGTTATAGAATTTATCAACCTCTCACTTAAGTCTATTTAACATGGAAAAGACACTGCGGTAATTTACACCTTAATTTTTCATTGATTTGAGTAATTTAAAGGAGAAGTTACAAAAAAGTATTTTTATCGGAGTGATGCTATGGGTACATATCTAAATTAAAGTCAAAAATTAATTTTAACCACATATTTTACAGGTCTCACAACTTTTCAAGAACACATTTCACCAATTTCGATAAAAATCTACTAAAAATCTGATTTTAATCATCACCAAACTGGGGCTTAGTCTCCACCTCCATCCCACATGTATTTTTCGCCTCTCTCAAATTTCTGTAATTTTAAGTTATTATTAAAAATGAATATTAAGGGTTTACTTCAAGAACAAGCTAAGAAAAAAGTGTAGTAAAATTTTAATACACTAGTTCTAAGATTTGAGCAATTTAAAGAAGTTACAAGAAAGTATTTTCATTTAGTCTCCATCACACGCGTATTTTTCTCCTCTCTCAAATTTAAGTAACTTTAAGTCATAATTCAAGAAGAATATTAAGGGGTTACTGCAATATTTTACTTTGTGAAAGATTCTGGGTTTTGTGTCTCAAATAAAGGATTCTCAGGTTTTCAATTCAAGAACAAGGTAAGAAAAAGTGCAGTAAAGTTTTAATATAATAGTTCTTAGGGATAGAAAAGGATTCTTCAGGATCGATGAAATTTTGCCAATAATCCTCTTATGTTCAAAGTTACACGTGTGATTAAATGTTTGAGGATTTCAATAAGTTGAATTCAGGTGTGCACATGAATAACATCCTAAGGAGTACTTTTACACTCGCCCTTCCTAATATGTTTTAGGATAATTGATTAACTGATGGAATAAAGATAAGCTATGAAGCACGTATACGGAAACGTGTATCCGACACGACACGTGTTAAACACATCAATACGCGATTTTTCAAAAAAAATGCTAACACAACACATTGTCGACATGTTGATTAAACTCTTTAATATTCTTCATTTATATAGTATAAATTTAATTTTATACTTGTTAATAATTTTTGTTGTCGAAATCTTTTAAATATAAATACATATTTGTTATTTAATATTAACTTTGAGATAAAAGTATATAATATTTTTGACAAATAAAAAAATAACTATGACAAAATGTCCTGGGAGTATCGGTATCCGACACGTGTCGGACATGGACACACTAACCTAGTTAAAGTGTCTATGCTACGGAGAATATAAGGAAGACGTGAGATGATTTGGATATTATTACATGGTATAAGAAGGTGGAAGGAAGCATCGAAATGTTAGTCTACTTAAGATAAGTATAAGCAATGATTAATAAGTTTAAAGTTAAGCTTGAAGTTGAAAGATGTATAGAGACATTTCCTCTATCTAAAGTTTAGTTATGTTCTTATTAAACTTGTGATTTGCTATGTTTGACTGCCTTTTGTAATCGATTTATGGATTTGAGTACATGTAAACAAGTAATGGAATCAAATTAGGTTAAGAAGTCATTTGTGCCTGATTTTCAAATTGTTTCCAGGTCATGTATTCTTTTAAGTTTTTGGTCAAGGCTTGTGGGGTTTGAAAGCTTTAAGAGTTTTTAGTGTTTTTATAAAAACTTCATGCTAATCCGAACCCGTTTGGCGAGTCAAATAAGTGTGGGTGTAAATCATTGCGTCATAGGAAGCTAATATGGCAGCAATGTCCATTAACATAAACCATTCCTCGTTCCTTCTTTCCCTGAGGTTGAATGTTATATTTTGATGAACTAAATGTACAACCATGGTAATAAAATAGGAATTAGAGTTTCAAAACAAATAGTGCAGTTCTAAGGGTGGCCACACCTAGTGGTCCCAAAGGCCAATTTCCATTTCCTCCTGTTTCAGTTCCATTTTCGTCCTAGTTCGTTTCTGGATTTTCCAATTCATGATTAAACATCAAAATTAATTTTCTTTGATTTAATTTTATAATTTAGATATTATTTATTAAAAAAAATCCAAGGAATTTCACAAGGCTCCCTAGGCTATTTTACAATGGTTTCCATGCTAGGAGCTTCAACTTGCAATAAATTTACATTTCTAAGTAACAATCCGGATCTTATGACTTGGGACGTTACAAGAGGGGTATAATAAATTTCATATTAAGTAAACTATTTAATGTCCATTTTTCATAAACAGAAAAAAGATTACAGACCCCATCGACAAAGAACTATTGATCAAACAAATACTAACCTGAAGAATTTACAAAATCCTTTTTCCCCAGATAGTATCAAAGAATTTAGAAATGAAAGATTTCAGTGGAGTCAAATTTTCTATTTTCTGGAAGTTTGAATGAACTAGCTTTGAATAAGCAGAGATGAAAAGGGAAAGAAATCCAATATAGTCAATTCTTTTTTGCTATTTCTTGTTGATCAGTGTTAATAAGAACAGTAACTTCATTTTTCTTAATATTCATGGTCAGTGATGTCCGAGATTGTTTCAAAGCAATAATGATATGAAACAAACATGGTACTCTGAATTCAAAACCTTTTGTTGTTCTACTGTAGGAAAGAAGTTAAAGCAGAAGGGAAGTACACTTTAAAGAACCATAAGAAGGTTTAGGATACTTACAATGTTGACATAGTGAATGAGCTTGTCCATCTGCCTAAACCATGTGTGTGCATATTGATACTTAAAGTCGGTTCCCATTGTAAACATTATATGATTTGTCCGAGTTATGTTAGCCTGCCAATTTAACAAGTGATGCAATATAAATGAAAGAAGGCAAAACACAAATTTAGATGCTTCACATTTCAGCTTGATGTCAAACAGAAACGACCAAATTACCTGAGACAGTGCAGCAGCTACAAAGTCTTCAACTCGCTCTTGAACATTGTAATCAAACAAAGTGGGATCATCCTTCAATTTTAATGCATGAAGAAAAAAATGTGAATATATAATAGAGCAAAGAAATACATGGAGACATTGAAGAAAGATATCAAGGTTTTCCAAATGATTACTTGAACGATAGGTGAAGCATCATTAACTTCAAAGTAGAAACCAGAAGGTGGTTCATAGTCCTTTGGGAAAGCACCAGCAAAAATCTGAAAGTTGATGGAAGAAACTAATGATGTCTCAGAAAGCAGTCTCCTTCAGCAGCATATTAAATGTCAATTCATGAAAACAGAAAGTTAAACTTGTTTGTGCCATGTACCTGTGCAGACGAACCAAGGCTCTTAGAACCCCACCAAACAACTTCAAGACTCTTCTCATATTTCCGTTTGGTTCTGTCTTGATAATCAATTCGCCCAAAGAAAAGTGAGTCAAATCCAATCTGCAAAAGTAGAAAAGCATTCTGACAATTAATGAAGCCCACAATTTCTTTATGGAATTAATAGCCTTAATACTTTGTATCAAGTATTGAGTTTCAAAAATCTACACCATTTTGGTCCTGCTATCTGAAACATAAAATTGGCCCTGGCTAAAACTCAACAAAAGACAGATACTTACTTCTGCTCCTAACAAGTAAGCCTGCACGGCAGAATGTCCAAAGGGATCAATTTGCCAACCAATTCTTGGAGTGACACCAAACTCCCTCTTAATAAAATGGTGCCCTAGAGTCGTTTGCTCAATCATGTCAATGTAATGCGTCGTCGCCTCATCATGCATGCACATTCCCCCATTTCTAGAACAAGAATATGGATAATCTGAATGAGAACTGAATTTTTTGAAATACGGTAGTAATAATCAGGAAAATAGAGATATCAATCTCTGCTTGACTATTATGACAAATTCTAAGAACAATACAATGACAATTTTAGAACATTGTCATTTACATATAGAATTCATATATCTTTGTTCTTATTTCCCTTGTAGGAACCTGATATTCAAACACCTGTCAGGACTTTTAAATCATGCAGTGAGTGAGTTTGCAAGAATCAATTGGGTAGACAAGAGTCAAAAATCAGATAACTTTACATGAATTCAAGTTGACCAGAGCTAACTAGCCGCTTCACTGTAAGTTGAACCGCTTCACTCTGATCCTTCCACCATCGTTCGAAAAATGCCTGCAGCAAATATGAATAAGAGTTTACAATATTGTGCAAATATTCTGAGTGCTTCCTTATGTTTAAGAATCAAAAAACTAAAAGTATGTCACAGCTCTGAAAAGACGGAACAAAATAAGGTAGATGGGCATTAACTAACTAACCATCTCAACATAGATAAATTTCCTGTTCTTGTCAGCCAACAGAGCTGGCACCAAAGAGTCCAACACATTTTGCACACATGCTCCCTACATTGATTACAATTAACATAAATTTCTTCCTTATCCAATTAGATATTTGAAATGATTAACAATAGAGAAGAGACCTGGATGGAATTGTTAGAGCCCACATAGTACTGATCGACAGTCTTCAACCAGCCAACATCATCGTGGGTATGAGGAACCAAATGTACATTTAGCTTGTCGGGGACTATGCCCTGTGAGGTGTTGTATACCATGTACTTTGACTCTGCTCCCCCAACACTAAAAACCCATAAAACAACCACAAATACAGTGGCGATCTCCATTTTGTTTCTTCCTTTTTTTCCAAGCTTGTTCACTTGTCGTTGATGGACTTTTCCTAAAAATTGAATTTTAGACAACTCGAAGAATTACTTGAAACGAGTAGGAAATTGCAAGAATACGATACAAACCGAAGATTATGATACAAATTGAAGTTTATCTGTTAGGTTAATAATGGGGGCGTCTGACATAGCAGTGCTTTTGTCCGGTGGCGACGGTGGAGAATAAAGGAGTTCCGCTGCGGTCAAGTGAAAGAGAAAGTTGGAGCTCTTCTTTTTCTTTGCGTGCAAAAACGATTTTTTAGTGAGTAATGCCACGTGGGTTATAACCCCGTTTAGATTAGGTGAATGAAATATGAATATTTAATTTTATTTATCATTTAATTTCATATTAATATCACGACGCATTATTATGATTGACCTGGTTGACTAGATTTTTTATAAAATTGGTTAAAAGGTCAATATTACCCTTAATGATATGAGTTTTCATTTATTACAAGATATATTCTTTTCTTATGTATAATTTTAGAGATTAGTATCTTATATTTAAACAAATTCATTATTTGATCTAATAGATTAGTATATAATAAAACAATAGTAGTTTAAACGTTATAAATAATTTTAAAGGTTAGTACATCTTCTTTCTTGAATTTTATTATATAATTTCATTCTAAATTTTAGTATCCCTCTGTTTGACACTCATTTTTTCTCATTCTTATTCTCATTTTTTTTCTCTTTTTTCATTTCAACACATTCTATCAAATAATTACATAACGTCATAGTTACAATTACATAACGTCATAGTTACAAATCATAAATTTTATTGGTCACAATTTATTTATTAGTCACAAATAATTAAATTAATTGATACTTATTCACGATCATGAATTACAAAGTTTATAGGTCACAACTTATTTAATGATCGCAAATTATCAAATTAATTGATACAAAGTTATTTATCGACCTCAATTTATCAAATTAATTTGTCAGAACTTATTTTTCGTTCACAAATTATCAAATTAATTGGTTACAATTTATTTTTGGATCACAAATTATCAAATTAATTGGTCAAACTTATTTCTCAATCACAAATTATCAAATTAAGTCGCACAAACTGGTCACAAATTACCTTTCATCTCCCCCAACTTCACCTTACCCACATTACCGTTGGCACCATACAAAATGTTGTTGCATCCTTACTCTACCCCTACTCCACCATCTTCGATACTACCCAAAACATCATCGAAACCTTAGATTCACAACCCATAACCACACCCACAACCACCTTCTCCAATGCAGCACCACCACAACCAGCACATCTTCCTCCAATGTACCACCATCACTAGCAC